GCTTCTAGACAGCTATGCCCAACACCGTGGCACAGAGACCTTGGCAGTGACCGGGTCCAATAGTAAGGGTTCCCTAGCAGCTGCAAGCTGGAACACTTGTGAGCTCAGCAGGGAAAAACACAGGTCCCCAGCAAGGTAACAAGAAAAATTCCTTTTCTTCCTAGCCTTACAGAGAAATCTTTGAGTTCTTCATAGAGGACTTCAAAACATACAAGCCATTGCTGTCTTCCATCAAGAATGCCTATGAGGAGATGCTGGGTAAGAATGCATCTACTTCTCTGGGCTGGGCTAAGAAAATGCAAGAGTCAGACATGGCGCGGTGTCCTAGCAACTGGGGTCCTCACCTTAAAAGTGCCGGGATCCCATATGGGTGCCGATTCTGGTCCCGGCAGCCCTGCTTCTCGTCCAGCTTCCTGTTTGTGGCCTGGAAAAGCAGGTGGGGATGGCCCAGGGCCTTGGGGCCCTGCGCCCGCATGGGAGACCTGAGGAGGTGGCTCCTGGCTCCTGGCTTCAAATCAGTTCAGCTCTGGCTGTTGCGGTCACTTGGGGAGTGAATCATTGGGCAGAGGATCTTCCTCTCTGTCTCTCCTCCTTTGTGTATATCTGACTTTGTAATAAAAATAAATAAATGTTTAAAAAAAACCTGCAAGGGTCCTGCTCTCTTGATCCAAGGCTCCAGGGCAAGACCAGAGCAGCTATTAACTGGGCTTTGAGGCCACCAAACCCCCACCCCGAGTCTTTCTGCATCACTGTGCTGTGATAAAGAATCCGAGACACTTAATCACCTCCTGTTCTTGAGAGGCACAGTAGGAGGGCCAGTGTGCTGGAACAGGATTGAGCCGCCACCTGTGACTTCAGCACCCCCATTCAAGTCCTGGCTGCTTCACTTCTGCTCCCATTCCCTGCTAATGCACCTGAAAAAGCAGCAAATATTTGGGCCTCTGCCATCTCCATGGGAGCTCTGAATACAATTCCAAGTTCATGCCTTCAGCCTGACCCAACCTGAGCCATTATAAGCATTTGAGGAGTGAATCAGTGGAGGGAGATCTCTCTGTAACTCTTCCAAATAGAGAGAAGCATGGTGGGACAGTTTCCACATGAAACACAGTGAACCCAGAAGACAGTGAGTACCTCTGGGAAGTGAGGAGGTGCCCAGTTGCAGGCAAGCTGCAACACCAGCAGTTACAGAGGAAAGAGCATAGGAGAGACCCTGGTCTCCAGCCAGGCTCTGGCCCTGGCTTAGAAGCAAGTTCAGGGCAATGTAGGCCCCTTGAGTACACAGACCAAAACAACCACTCACCTGAGTGTGACCTTGGGCCCTATCACCTGGCTGTTCTCTACTGCCCCCAAAGAGTTCTCCCACCTGCCCCTGCTTAGCCCACCAAAGGGAGAAGATCCGGGCTCTGGAGCCACTGAAGGCCAAACTCGTCACAGTGAATGAGGGTTGCGATGAGAAGATTCTGGCCATGAGGGCTGAAGAGCGGAACGAACTCTCCACACTCAAGACAGAAAAGATGCACCTGCTAAAACTCATCGACAAAAAGAATGAAGAAAAGATCTCCTTACAGAGTGAGGTCAGCGCAAGCAGTGTGGCAACCCTGTCCCTGTTCTCCTGCCCCACAGATGCCCAGAGTAGTTGGAGGGAACCCTGAGGCCATGGGCACGGAGGTGACACATAACCTGCAAACCTGCCCTCCCCTTGCATCTGGAATGACACACAGAACCGCCACCTCCACCCCACCCCCAGAGCTTCACTCAGCACCAGCCAGGGGCGGGGGAGGCGAGTGCCACAGACTCCATGGGAGGAGGCATTGGCACCTTGCTGGGATCTCAGGAAAAGCAAGATTCCTCCAAGCCTTCCTGTTGCCAGGCTCTGAGGGGACCACCCCACACCCCTCCCATCCCCTATGATGACTAATCATATGCAGGAGTCCCCTGCACACAGCCATCTTCCCTCCAGGTGACCAAACTGAGGAAGAACTTGGCTGAAGAGTACCTGCGTTACCTCACTGAGCGAGATGCCCGCAAAATTCTGATCGCAGATATGAACGAGCTGCGCTACCAGCGGGAAGACATGTCCCTGGCCCAGTCCCCAGGTGAGCTGGAGCCAGGTGGCTCTCTGGCCCTGAGGGACTGGGGAATGGGGAAGGCAGCTTTCCACTGTCCATCTACATACAGCATTCCTAGTCTGTTCAGGCCACAATTGTTTGGGAACTTCCTCTGCCACCACCTGGCGACCAAGTTAGGCAGGAACACTGCCAATGGCTTAGGCCACCTAGACTGCCAAGGACAGTCTGTCTAGGAGATACACTGTATCCTGAACCCCTTTCAGCTGATAATGTTGTCCCAGCTGATAATGAGTCCTAGGGAAGACAGAAGGGCCCAAGGGTGTTCCCCCCTTGCCCTGGGCTCTGAGCCCCAGAACCAGGGTGACATGGGCTGTGGGGCTTCCTGCAGATGTCTGGGGGGAGGACCCCATGATGCTCTCATTGGCTCTGAAGATGGCACGGCAAGACCTGACCCGGGCCCAGATGGAGCTCAACACCATGAAGGCCAACTTTGGTGATGTGGTACCCAGGAGGGACTTTGAGATGCAGGAAAAGAACAACAAGGATATTCAGGAGCAGGTGCTGGAACACGGGCTGGGACAGGCAGGGCCGGGCTGGGCTGAACGGGTCGGGGAGACAGAACCATAGACCTTGTCTGCAGCTGGATGGCCTGAAAGCTGACTATGAGGAGGTGCGCAAGGAGCATGAGATGCTGTTGCAGCTGCACATGAGCACGCTCAGGGAACGTGACCAGTTCTCCTTGGAGCTGCAGGAGATCCAGCGCACCTCCACGCCCCGGCCTGACTGGACCAAGTGTGAAGGTGCTGTCGGCCTCAGGGAACCTGGGGACCACTGAAGGGGATGGGCCAGGTTTCAGCTTCTTTTCCTCACCTGCAGATGTGGTGGCTGGGGGCCCAGAGCGCTGGCAGATGCTGGCCGAGGGCAAGAACAGCGACCAGCTGGTGGACATACTCCTGGAGGAGATCGGCGAGGGCCTACTCCGGGAGAAGGACTTCTTTCCTGGGCTGGTAGGAGAGTCCCTGGGCAGACAGCTTGGAGTGAAATTGCAGCAGCCAGGCCTTGTTGCTAAGGAGAGCTGAGCTTCCATAAAGGAGTCATCCGGGTCTCTTCCCAGCCTGGGAGTAGGCCACAGATGGCCCTGGAGACAAGCTGACCCCTCCATCTATCTCCTTTCAGGGCTTTGGAGAATCCATCCCCGCCTTCCTGCGATGTGATGGCCCCGTGCCAAACAAGAAGCCAGCCAAGAAGGACGTGGTTAGCCTTCTTAAGGATGTCTGGAAGGAGCGTATGGCGGGGGATAAGGTCAGAGTTCACCAGCCTGCTGGCATGTGGGCTTTCAGAGTCATCCAGGAGCTCCCCTTAAGGGCCGACCAACCCTGGAACAGCCTGACCAGGAATTTCCTTCGTGCTACAGAAAGAGAAATTCCCAGACTTCTTCTTCAGTTTCCTGGAGCGTCGGTTTGGACCCCAGGATGCTGTAGCCTGGGCTTACACCCTTTTTGAAAACATCAAGCTCTTCCGCTCCAATGAGGTCATGAGTCAGTTCTACGCAGTTCTGATGGGAAAGGTAAGCTTCAGCTTCATCCCAGCCTGCACTGCTGGGGATCCACCAGCACAGCCCAGCTCTGTGCTTGTGAACACCTCCCTCCCCGTAGAGGAAAGAGAGTGTGTACATCAATCAGAAGGAGCTCCTTGCCTACTTGCTGAAGGAGATGACAAATGCTGACAGTCAGAATGAAGGACTCATAACCATGGAGCAGTTTAGGTGAGAAGCCAGACCAGACCAGTTCAGACTCCCAGGCCAGGCTCTGGCATATTCAGGGATGAGGGGAGCCGGCGGAAGGGCCACTTGGTGTGTTTGCTGCCTTCTGAACCCTTGTGTGGCTGGCAGAGGAGGGTGCAGGGCAACAGGTGGGCAGGCCTCAGCCATGGCCCTGTTGGCCTTCATGTCTCCCCACAGCTCCATCCTCAAGAGCACCTTTCCCTTCAAGACGGGAGAGCATATTCTGGAGCTGATGGAGACAGGCGGCTGGCATCCCAACAGCAGCAATGCAGACTTGCTCAACTACCGCTCTTTATTTATAGAGGTCGGTGGCTGGGACCAGAAACCCGCCCTGCCACCCCCTACCTTGGCTGCACCCTGGCCAGCGTGCCCTTCCCCTTGCCTTGTGACCCCTTGCAGGATGAGGAGGGCCACAGTGAGCCCTTTGTACAAAAGCTGTGGGAACAGTACATGGATGAGAAGGATGCATACCTGCAAGAACTAAAGCAGGAGCTGGGCATGGAACTGTGAGTGACTGTAGGGCTGTCAGGCCCACTCAGCAAGTCCCATGGGCTGGGCTGGTCCCTTAGGGCGGCATGGGAAGCCCTAGAACCTCCCTATGCCCTACACGGCTGCAGCCCAGCAGAAAGGGAGGCACCTTGGCATCTGGGGTTAAGGCCTGCCTCTCTTCCTGGGGACCAGCCGTGATGAAGTGACCCTATACAAGCTGCGTGTAGCCCTTATGAACATCGACCCCAGCCTGGACAAGCAGACCTTGAGAGCATACCTAAGCCAGGCCTTCCAGCGGCCGCTGGCAGAGCTACCAGAGGAGGGCAATGAGAAGGAGCACAGCATCGTGACAGGGCTCAAAGAGGCCCTGGAACAACTGCAAGCAGCTGACATCAAGCGCATGGGACCTCGAGAGCAAGAGACTGCCAGCTAGGGCCCGCATGGGTGGCTGAGTGCCCCAGGGCTGAAGAAAACCAGGTTTTAGTATTATGCTGTTTGTCTGACCCAAGCCTTTCTGCAGGCTGTGCCCGAGGGATCAGGGGTGGGGCATGGGGACGGGGGAGAAGTTAGGGATCCGGATTGGGGGCAGTCCCTGCCTGGCTATCCCAGCACATACATCAAAACACGAAACATTCCGTTTGTGATACTTTATTGATGCTAGGGGGCAGGCAAGAATACCAGGAGGCCTGGAAGAATAGATGGGGGAAGGGGACAAGTGTTATGGCCCGGTGCTACTGGGCTGGGAAGACAGAATTGCCACTGAATGCACAGGGGATGAGCAGCTGCCGGTACTCCAGGGGCAGGTGCCGCTCCACAAGCACGTGCAGTGAGACTCGGTCAGTGACCAGGCCCTGCCTGCAGCAGAGGGAGAGAAGGGACAGATGGTACCATGCCAGCCCTCTCTCACCCAGCACCCACCCTCCTCCACCTCCTCACACTCACCGTCGCATCAGCAGCTCCAAATCCTCTGGCTTCACCGTCTTGCGGCCAGCATGAGCAGCAAATACCTCCAGGTCATCGCAGAGGTGCTGAAAATATTTGTCTAGGCTGCCAAGGTTAGCAGGGGAGAGACAGTCTGTCACCAACCTGAGGGCTCCTCCCTCAACCCCAGATGTCCAGAGCTCACCATTTCTCTACCATTCCAAGGGCTGCCTTCTCCATGGGCATCTTAGCGTAGAAGTTGAAGAGTTTTATGTAATGTTTCAATCCAGTCTTGTATGGATCTGGACGGGGCCTGTGGCCAGCAGCTCGGAGCCTGGGAGGAGGCCTGGCTGGCACAGCCTGGGAAGGTCTGCTGGGAGCAGGAGTGGATAGAGCTGGCTGAAATGCTGTCTGCAAAGGCCCTGATTCAAAGGCAAGCTTTGCTGGCTCCTGCTATGGCTGGGGACCATGTGCCCCTTGGTCAACCTAAATTAGCAACTGCAACCATATATGGGGGGCAGGGATGTCAAGGGGTCACCTATGGCTCTGGTCTCTCCCTGCGTCCTGTTCCTGCAGTCTTGACCCAATGTCCTAGTCTAGCTCATCATTTATTCTGGGGCTTCTTCAGGCTGTGACCCCCAGGCCTCAGAACAGACATTGTCTCCCATTAGTCCACAGCTGCCTGCCCAGGCCATCTCCAGCAGCTGTCTCTACACACTGCCCTGGCACCTCCCTTCACCCACGTTCCTTTCAGGCCCCTCCAGGATGACAGACACACTCCAGGGAGTGTCCTTCCCTGGCCCAGGGCGTTTTCCATAAGGACCAGGAGGTGGGGTCCTGGGATCTTACAGGGTAGCATCAGGCAGTCGCGGTGGCTCAGCAAACCGAGGAGGCTGCTCAGCTTGGAAAGACCTGGGACTGCTGGAGGCCATCTCTGGACCTGCTGCAGAGGAAGGGCAGGTCACAGGAGGCTCAAGACCATAAGGCCCTATCTCTTGAGGGTCCCACCCAGCTCTGGTGCCACAAGGGACCTGTAACATCTTTTTGTCCATCTAACATCTCCAGTGCCCAGAAATGCATCCCAGGACCAGGAAAGCTCCTGCAATGTCAGGGCTGGAACACAGTGTTCTTGCCCACGTTCGCCTTGACCACTGCACGGGGCCTCACCTGTGCTATTGGAGGGGTCCTCCTCTCCTGAAGACACATCCAGCTCCTCGGCTTCTGCTGCATCTTGGGATCCCACTGCTTCTGTCACCTCTGGAGTAGCAGCAGGCCAAGGCTGAAGTTCTTGAAAGGGTAAAGATGGATAGCAGAGCCAGACCTAACCACTGAGGAAAGACAGTCCAGAGCAATACCAGGGCACCAGTGTGGAATCTCCTAGTCCAACATTGATTCTGCTCTTAGAAGAGGGTGGGACCACAACCAGAGAGTACCCATGACGGCTTCAGGATGGAAAACCAGAAGTGCCGATCTTAATGGAGCTAAGCTTGGCACCAGGCCATCTGCACCCGAAACACTCACCATCACTCTGCAGCCCGAGCCGACTGCTCTGTGTCCGGTGGGACGTAGTCCTCTCAGCATCTTCATTCTCATTGTGAGAGGGATGGGGAAGGAAGTGAGGCACACCAGGGGAATGGCCAGCCAAGGGCTGGGAGAAGGGTTGGGTGTCCTCCAACACAATGTCTGTCGGCACAGTGGTCACAGAGGTTCTGAGGCTGTTACCTAGAGAGAGCAAGGGCCGGCGGACACTCAGTATCCTCAAGGCCTACCTGCTGCTGCCAGGATGACCAGGGCATGGGCTATCGACCCCCAGGATCTGCCCAGAGAAGAGGAAAGATGACTCCAACCCAATTCTTACCTCCCTTCCACAGCTCTCCTGCTTCCTGCTCACCTGCCTGCTCTTTGCCTGGCATTCACAGGCCTCCAGAGCTGCTCCCTAAGCCCTGAGCCACTCACCCATGCCTCTCCTCTAGCCAGGACCCTCTTAATGGGGAATTTAAGCTAACATTAGGCTCCTGCACCTGCTGCCACAGGCTAGCTCATCTCTACACCCAGTGTTTTCCAGCCCTGGACTCAGCAAAACCTGCTCTAGGTCACAGGAAAGCGTCCCCAAAAGCCAGGGCAGGGAAAGCTCAAGGTTACCTGTAGGAGCAAAGGAGGCATCTTGCAGATCCTGCAAAAGGAGCCCCACATCCACAGCACGGCGTGGCGGAGGCTTGCGGGCGAGGCCCGGTCTCTTCACAGACTGCGGCTGAAGAGGGGTGGCAAAGGTCAGGTTCAGGGAGCTGGTGGAAGGGAGGAGGCACAAGAAGAAGTCAGGTTCCTGAGGTGCTTTCCCCAGAACCTGTGCCCACGGTTCTCAGTCACTGCAATGCAGCCCCTGGGCTGGGAGGCTGAACCTGGCAGAGAAGCAACTCAGTCAGCACCTCTCTCCCCAAATGTCTCCTTCACCAAAGCCCAGAACAAGGAACATCACCTGGTGAGGGAGGACGCATCTGCAGTCTCCTGAGGCTCTGCAGAGGATGTAAAACAAGAAACCCCAGTAAGTTCCCAGGCCCATCAGGGGCCTGTCTCGGGCCGCCTCAGCCTGACTGGAGGAGAGGAGCAACAGGGCAGCATCAGCCAGGCTTAGGGCTCACCTTGGGCAACAGGCTGACCTTGGTCCACTTGTCGTTCAAACATGGACAGCCGCACCCTTTGCTTCCTCCTGCCAGGAGCCAGCAGAGCCGGAGCCGGACTGGTAGAGGGCTCAAGCTCCGGAAGTTGCAGTTCCAGGCTAGGAAGATGGAGCTGATCTCAAAGAAGCATAACTCTGGCTTTTGAGGTTCCCAAGAATCTCCTGATACAGATCTGCCCACCAGGAGATCACTCTTTACCTGCCCCGACTGCTTTCCCGTCTTGAGGGCTGGGCGGCTGTGGGTGCCGGCACAGGCTTCCCTGTTGACTCTGGCTTCAGGATAGAGGATTCTGGGGCTGCAAAACACACCAAGAGAGTAGGGCCCACAGAGCAGGCTTTCCAGCAGGACAGACCCCAGGGGACCAGGGTGGACCTGGCTGCTGCCTCTGACCGCATGACCACAGGCTGCTGCCTGCGCACATGCTCACCTGTCCGCAAGATATTCTGGAACAGAGTCCGGGGTGTCTGTTCCTCCAGGTGTCTCCTGGCTTGGCTATGAACTGGCCTGCCCACGGACTGTGAATGAAGGCACCAACCAATCTATCCGTTGGCCTTGGAATTCTTCCCAAGGCAGGCCTCAGAGTAAAGCTAGATTTGTGGGATCCCAGGGCCCTAGAACAGCCAGCAGGCTGGTCACTCACCTTAGTTCCATGGGAGCGTCTTTTGGTTGTTGGTTTGGTTTGGCTGCGCAGCCTCCAAGACAAAGGGGTTTTAGGCAGGGTTCTCTGGGTCCTGTGTAAAGAACATGGCACAGTAACCTAGTGGCTAAAGTCCTCCCCTTGCATGCACTGGGATCCCATATGGATGCCAGTTTTAATCCTGGCTGCTCCACTTCCCATCCAGGTGTGGCCTGCTTGGGCTATCCTTTTCTGCTTGTGGCCTGGAAAAGCAGAAAAGGATAGCCCAAAGCCTTGGGGCCCTGCACCTGTGTGGGAGACCCAGAAGAAGCTCCTGATTCCTGGCTTCAGATTGGCTCAGCTCTAGCTGTTGCAGCCATTTGGGGAGTGAACCATTGGATGGAAGATCTTTCTGTCTCTCCTTCTCTCTGTAAATCTCACTTTCCAATAAAAATAAATCTTAAAAAACAAAAAAAGATCAGTTAAAAAAAAAAGATCAGTGACTCTGCGAGTCAGGTAGGGCCTGGGGGCAAAGGGGTCAGTGGGTGAAGGCTAGACAGGCCAGGGGTTAATTACTACCTGTCCTTTAGAAAATATTTTACATATATATATATTATAAACATATGTTTATATATGTGTGTGCTGTTTTGTGTATATATTTTATATATAAAAAAACAACCAAGGTAAACATCTAAGCAGTTTCAGGGGATCTGAGTACTTTGTCAGGATATGCCAAGGTCCACCTGGGTCGCACTCAGTCCAGTTCTCAGATTCCAGAACCAGAGAATGCCGGATTCAGCAGCTTCTCATCTCTTAGAGGTCTAAAATCTACCAGGAACGGCCTCCTCCCTTTAAAGGCTGACAGAGGCCGACCTCTGCACCACCAGCTCGCCAAAGCCCTCACCCACTGCCGCCCCGCGAAGCATGGGCTCTCCCGGCTGCTTTCCCACCTTCCCTCCAGAGTCTGAATGAAGACTTCCCGCATAGCTCGGCGGCCCGGAAGCCCCGGAGGCGGGGAGGGCAGTGAAGTCACTCTCACGGGCCAGGACTGCTCCCCAAGACTCAGTGCAGAGGCGGCACTGAAACCTACCCCAACCCCATCCCACCCAGTCTCCTGGCCCGAAGCTCAAGCAGCGCCCTCCAGTACCCAGCCCGAACACTCGAGCGACGCCGCGGGGAGCGCGAGTCGGCTGTATCCAACACGCGCCGCAGCAGAGTGCGCGTCGTAGGCTCGCTGTTCGGACTGTAGCCGTCAGCCATCCTCTCACACCGACTAGCCGTCCAACTGTCCAGGCAGCTGACGCCGCCGCCGCCGCCTTCCCGCCACCCAGGTTTAGATAACTCTCGCGACAAAGGCCGCACAGCCTCACGGGAATCGTAGTTCTCGCTCTACCGCGGCACAATGCGAGGTGGGTAGTGGTGACAAACTGGCAGGGGGAGGGAGGAGTCCTACTGAGTCGGCGCTTGCAAGCGATCTAAGTCTTGGTTTTCTCTTGTGACAATTTAAAGTAAAAAGAAACCTAAAAAGGAGCTTGTAATGATTTAATGTATTATACATCATTCGCTCTTGCACAAGCAGAGATTCAATTCAATTAACAGCAAGTCGCTCTTAGAATATCACTCCTTCCCATCTCCCTCGCTCGGGAAAAGGGGCGGCACTTGGGCTTGGAAAGACGCTTGCGTTCTGTGTGTGACCTGGCCAGATTGGCAAAGTAAAACAGTTCTGTTATCTATCAGAAGAGACTACGTGGCAGGTTCCAGCTTTAGTGATTGAGGCACTGGTGATCGAGAACCAGTGTTGGAATCTCAACAAGGCAATTTTGGAATGAATTTCACCTCTGCAAGTACTGTTGATGCTCACCACATTTTCCTGAACTTCTGTCTTCGGTTTTCCTGGCAACTGAACCAGAACTTGGATTCTGAGTCTCTCATGGAATTCTTCACAGAATTTGCTCCCAGGCCACATGTATCAGATACTCTACAGGCACGGACATACTTGTGCCTGTTAAAAAAAAATGGAAGCTCCTGCTTCCTGACTTGGAATTGGCCCAGTTCCCATCATTGCAGCCATTTGGGGAATGGACCAGCGCATGGAAAGATCTCTTTCCCTATCTCTCCTTCTCTCTCTGTAATTCTGACTTTCCAATAAAATAAAGGAGCAAAGGGGCCAGTGTCACGCCACGGTCCTGCTTCCCTCGTCAGAGCAGTAGTTCAAGTCTGGTTGTTCCCTTCCCGTGCTACTCTACGCTATTGTGCCTGAGAAGGGAGTAGAAGATGGCCACAGCACTCGTGCTCCCACCACTCCCATGGGAGATCAGAATGGGGTTCCCGGTACCTGGCTTCAGCCCAGACCTGCTGGTGTAGCCATTTAGGAATTGAACCAGTGGGTACTTCACTGTTTCTCTAATAAATAGATAGATCTTTGCTTTTTTAAAATGTAGCAAATAAAAAAAAATTGTATTAATGTTTCTCAAAAAGAACTGGAAAGGGCCCAGTGCAATAGCCTTTCAGCTAAAATCTTCCTCGCCTTGAACATGCCAGGATTCTATATGGGCACTGGTTCTGATTCCAGAGGCCCTGCTTCCCATTCAGCTCCCTACTTGTAGCCTGGGAAAGCAGTCAAGGACAGCCCAAAGCCTTGGGACCCTGCACCCGCATAGGAGACCTGGAAGAGGCTTCTAACTCCTGGCTTCAGATTAGCGCAGCACCAGCCACTGCGGCCACTTAGGAAATGAATCATTGGATCAAAGATTAGAATCAGAGCCTAAATGGGATCCCAGTGTATTCAAGGCAAGGTCTTTAGCTGATAGGCCACCACACCAGGCCCAGTATTACTGTTTTTTAAGCAAATATTTGCTTTCATCTTTTAAAAATTTTTCATTAATTTTTGAATATGTACTTAATTTTAGTTAGAAAGGCAGATCAGATTTACGTGGAGAAGAAAATATAGGGAGAATGATTTTTCATCTGCTGTTGTACTCCGCAAATGGCTGCAAGGGCTGGAATTGAGGCCATCTGAAGCCATGAACTTCTTCCGATTCTCCCACATGGGTACATTGGAACATCCTCTACTACTTTTCCAAGTCCTAAGCATGGAACTAGATGGGAAGTGGAATAGCCACGACACAAACTAGGATGCTGATAGTTGGAGAGGAAGGATAAGCAGTTGAGCCATCACACTGGGCTCAGTTTTTTTTTGTTTTTTTTTTTAAGATTTATCTATTTTCACTGGTAAGGCAGATACAGAGAGGAAGAGAGACAGAGAGCAAGGTCTTCTGTCCAATGGTTTACTCCCAAAGCAGCCACAATGGCTGAAGCTGAGCCAAGCCAAAGCCAGGAGCCAAGAGCTTCTTCTGGGTCTCTCATACAGGTGCAGGATCCCAAAGCTTTGGGCCATCCTTTACTGCTTTCCCAGGTCACAGGCAGGGAGCTGGATGGGAAGTGGAGCTGCCAGGATTAGAACTGGCACCCATATGGGATCCAGGCGCATTCAAGGTGAGGACTTTAGCCACTAGGCCATGCCGCCAGGCCCAATAAATAAGTCTTAAAAACAACAACAACAACAACAAAAAAAAAACGTGGCCTATAGGGATTCCAGTGCTTTAACTGCTATGCTATTGTGCTGAGCCCTGGGCTCAGTTTTATTATTTGAAAGGAAGGGTTAAAGAGGGAGAAAAGTAAGATCTTCCATCTAAAGATTCATTCTCTAAATGGCTGTCACATCCAGGGCTGAGCCAGGCTGAAGCCCGGAGTCACGAGCTTCCTCCAGGACTCCTATGTGGGTGCAGGGGCCCAAGTCTTAGGCCATCTCTGCTGTGTTCCCAGGAACATCAGTGAAGAGCTATATCAAAAGTACAGTTTCCAGGACTTGAACTGGCAAATTCAGAGAGACTTAGCTTGCCATGGCACAATGCTGTTGGCTCACCCTTGTTCTAAATGTTGTAGGCATTCACTGGGGAGTTCAACAACAGTATATCAAAATCAGATTTTCTTCAGCAGTCATGTCAAGAAAAGATTGAAAGGGTGGCAACAGGGAAAGCCGTGAGGCGTGTGATAAGATTCTGGTCTTTCTTGGAAGGTGACAAAATAGAGTGAGCTGGGCGTGGGGAGGGGAGAAAACCATGCAGTCTGGATATGCTTTGAATGTCGGAGATTAAAACAAATCTTATATATTAGAGTTTTACTGAGAATAGTTTTCTCGTTTTTTAAGATGTATTTTTTCTTTAAGATACATTTATATTTTATTGCAAAGTCAGATATACAGAAGAGGAACGACAAAGAGATCTTCCATCCAATGATTCACTTCCCTAGTGACCGCACAATTAGTGCTGCGCTAATCTGAAGCCAGGAGCTAGGAACCTCCTCCAGGGCTCCCATGCGGGTGCAGGGTCCCAAGGCTTTGGGCTGTCCTTGACTGCTTTCCCAGGCCACAGGCTAGGAACTGGATGGGAAGTGGAGCAGCCAGGATTAGAACCATCAGCCATATGGGATCCCGGCATTTTCAAGGCGAGGAAGACTTTAGCAGCTAGGCCACGGCACCGGGCACTCTTTTCTTTTCTTTTCTTTCTTCTCTCTCTCTTTTAAGATTGTTAATTTTTTCTTCTCTCTCTTTTAAGATTGTTAATTTTTTTTTTTTTGGAAAGAGATCTACAAGCAGGAGAAATAGGAAGAGAAGAGAAAGTTCTTCCATCCTCAGTTCATTCCCCAAATGGCCACAACAACATCTGGAACTGAGTCAACCTGAAGCCAGGAGCCAGGAGCTTCTTCTGGGTCTCCTATGTGGGTACAGAGTCCCAAGGTTTTGGGATCCTAATGTGGGCAAAACAAGGATTTGGCCACTGAGCCATCACACTCAGGGTCCAACCTCTTTTTTTTCAAAGATTTAAAAAAAATTTATATCAAGAGCTACAAATTGAGAGATTATTCATCTGTTAGTTTACTTCCCCAGATACCTGCAAATCCCAAGGCTGAGCCAGGGAAAAGCTAGGAGCCAAGAGCCAGGAGCTTCATCCAGATTTTCCTGGATGGCGGGCCCCAACCACTAAGTTATCTTCTGTTGCTCTGCTCAGTCATTAGCAGGGAGACAAATTGGAAGCAGAACAGCCAGGACATAAACTGATGCCCATATGGGATGCTGGTATAAGAGGCAGCAGCTTTATTAGCTACACCACAACACTGGCCTCCCACCTACCGTATTTTAAGCAAGGTGAATATAAGTTGAATGATATCAGTAATGACAATGAAAATACACAATAGAAAATACAAGGATTTTTTTGCTGACTTTTCTGTATACATATGTTTTATAAAAATATAGACATGTATCATTGCATGCATTCATACTATTGTCAAAATAATTCCCCAAATGAAAACCCATTTTTCACTGTGAGCCAGACACTAGATCCCACAGTTCTGAATTTGCAGTCTAGATTGTGGTCCTCAGCAACACCTGAGTGCAGGAAAGGGCCATTAGTAAAACACACGGTAACCAAGAACTACATTGTCAGTACAGAATCCAGTGGTACTGTCTGGGTGTTGGATCCAGAAAATATACCTTCCCTATTGTCCTGTAATTTTTCTAAAGCTTTTAAAGCATTGGTTACCTTTCTGATAAAACATAAACTAATAATAATGACAACATGGAGCATTTTATTTTCTTTTGAAAGCTATTATTTACTGAAATATTAATTTGTTTGAAAGGCAGTTACTAGAGGTTCCCTGAGTCTATGGAACTTTATCATAAAAATCTTAAAAAATAAATTGATGGCTGCCCAGGGCACTGGAGACAAGGGGCTGGTCTGCTCCAGACCCGGCACAAGTTCCAGGCTTCAGCCTAGAACAGGAGGGGCCACAGGAGCCAGTTATGTCACCAACCTGGAGGGATTCCAGTTGACCAATGGCACACCTGAATGGACATTCCTTACATAGTTGGGGCACAGACAGCCCCTTTGCCTGCCCACGTGTCTAGAGGGGTATAAAACTGCTCAACAGGTATCTCAGCTGCCCTTTTCGCCTCCCTCTTCCTTCCCCTCTGTGCGAAGGGGGCCCAGGAGCAGATTTTCCAATAAAGCTTCCATTACAACTCTGAACAACTTGCCGATATTCCACCAGCGGGTGGGCGGGAGGTGGTCATCATCTAACATGAATAATAAAAGAAAGGAAGCATTACAGAGAGAGAGGGACAGTGATGTGCCATCTGCGGTTTCACTGTCCAAATGGCTGCAAAGACTTGAACCCAGGAGCTTGGGATTCTATCCAAGTCT